AGGGGGGGGGGGTGGGAAAGTGAAGTCATGTCAACTTGAGTCTAACATAAGGTATGAAGCACAGGAATAAAAGATTCTTTTGACAAGTCACTTCTAGATCCAGAAACAATTTTATTATGGTATGCAAAGCTTACTATTCGTTCTGTCTTATGGTATGACGTGACTAAGGAAGAGACTGGTAATAGTCCTGTTTCCTAGTTAACCTGTTTAGCTTTTTACAAACATTTCAAGAAGTCTCAGCCCACCTCTTCTTCATCAGTTCCCCCTGCACACCCACACTTGCTAGAAGCTTCCACTACCACACGGCATGTTGTTTTACCATTGAATACAGCAGGGGGACAGACAGATGAGCAGCAATCTTGACAGCAGAATCCTCCTAAAGCAGGTCCCCTCCCCTGTCAGTGATTCTTGACCTCCCCCACTTCTAGAAGCTCCTCCTTGCCCAGAAGGCAGGCATATAAAGCTCCCATTCCAGTCAGTGGAGTATCTCAACAGTGACTCAGAAACCTACCCAACAGTGGTACACAGAAGGGAATGGGAAGAAGAGTAATCACCATATGGAATTGTATGTCTGTTGACTAGTGAAGAAGTCTAGACCTTTACAGCACTTAACTAAAGCACCTACCTTTTAAGTAGCGAAGTACAGGGAGATGAATACCGCCCTCAGTTCTTAAAAACCAACAGTGAAAAGCCTTTTAATAGAACACAAAAACCCAAAACAGAATTACTCACTTGACTATCCCATATCCCAGGCTGACTATGATGACCAGAGTTCGAGCCAATGAACGCTTCACAGCGGAAAGCAGTTCTGCCAGTATTACTGCTCCTTGAACTACCAAAAGCAAAGAGAAGGAAGCTAGGTTATTAAAATATAATTTCTGTTTTATTAACTACTGCATGCAATTGTAGTATGAGAGTAGACATAATTATTGTCAGAAAGTAGGCTATTAAAGTGTATAATCTTTTTATTACCTACATCTGGAGTAAGCTTTCATAAAAGATATGTCACTTAGCATAAAAAAAGCTACTGAAAAATTTTACATCCATAGAAAGGGGAGAGTAAACGATCCATAAAATGTTTATCCATAAGAGCAGCCTGGATGATCTTCCAAGTCAACCAACAAAACCTTCTGTACCATGGGTGTGGCCAATGAACAAAGTCATAATGAAGTTTTACTTGCAGAGTGTCATTTGTATGCATCCATCCTAAAAACTCAAAACGAGAGTCCCAAAGTTTTATGTGGAGAGAATCACTTAAGATGGATCATCAGGCTATGGGCTGAATAACAAAAGTCATCTGCAATGCTGTCATGTTGAACAAGGAGTTTCCAAGGCCAATACCAATTGTCAGAAATTAATTACAAGCTACACTTAGGAAGTCCTACTTTAAACTTCAAGTCAGCACTACAGTGATTACTCTCCAGAATCTAGCATTTTACATCCCTAAGACACACTACACTCAAGAGTCAGAGAAAGTCACAACATTTTAGCTTTGTAAGAGCACATGTATCATACTTACAATATATAAAAAAATGCAGAAACTCTGGTTCCCTGTTCTTTGTTTTGAAACAATCCTTAAGTAATCATATACTTAATATCCATCACCCCAATTTAGCATAAGCCATTAGTGCTATGCCCCATCAATTAAACTGCAAGCTGCAATTGCTACCTACCAGATTCCCCTGTGTAGCGGATATTCTGGAACTCTGCATAGAAAACTGCTTTCTCGAGCATTCCCAGGAAGATAACAGCACCAATCCAGAACTGGATCCTCAGGAGATCCCGCCAGTAACAGGCTGACCACGCAAGCCATAGAACCCCGAAGAATACGTACACAATACACATCACCATGAAAAACTATTACACAAAAAGAAGCAAGAAATAGGAACTTTAGACCCAGAAAAATCGTTTTCTTGTTTCCATTCCACAGCTGTAAGACAGCTCTATTTTCTCCCTGAGTATAGCAGCTTCTGAAGTTTTTATATACAAAAGTGACTAGAAACAAGCATTGCTTCATTTGTTTTCTCTGGATTCTTTTAGAGTCACAGCCTAATTTCTCACTGCCAACAAAGAGAAACAGAGTAATTGAATTTCCGAGCAATTTCTCTCTTGAAGAGCAGTTTGCCAATTTATTCACAGACAATTTTTCTAAGGAAGATATCAAGTGCTACTAGCTTTCAAAAACTCAGATAAGAGCTCAGGCAAACCATCAAGTACTAGAAACTCTGCCCCTTCTCACATATTATTCTATTACTAACTTCATTGTACATTTACAGTACTCTGCAAATAAGCTTACAAGTCACCTTTACACATCATTCCACAGAACACAGATAAGCAACTGACGGTTGTAATCCCTCTGTTCAAATAATTTGACAACTTCTCTCAAAGTTAATTTCCAGAAAACTCAGTTTTTGACCAAGCTTTAGGCCAGCCAAAAATCTGGAATCAAAAAAGAAACCCAGATATATGTTCAAATATTACCATTTTGCTTTTTTTTTTTTTTCTTCAGTCCAGCGTTACTTGCTTTAGAAGAACTTTAAGGGTACGTCTCCTACAGCAAACAATAAGCTTGACAATACTACTCAGTGCTGAGTTTTCTAAATGACAGCACCATACCAGAGCAAGTTAAGTTTTCAAAAAGGAGACTGAGATTAAGAATAGGGATAAGAAGGAGAGAGTAAGACATTAAATGATTAGCAGGAAGTACTTAGCCAAAGTATAAGACAGTAATAATCAAGCAGCCTCCTCTTGCAGAAGGTAGATTTTTTTTTTTTTTAAACCAAGCAAGCATTGAAGTTAGCTGCACAATCCACTGAAGCTTTCACAAACTGAAAACACCTTCCTTAGGAGAACAGTTTACTGATCCTTACAGATTTTCACGTCTGACTAATCCATGCAGTTCAAATAGTGAGGACCTAGGCATGCTAGTTCACATTCAGATGCTCCATTACAGAAACACTTAGACAGAGACCTTTTTCTGGACCTGCCACATGGGGATATTCACACTAGTGAATTACATGTCAACAGAGCTGCTGGAGGCTTTTTACTTCAGTCAGGCTCTCCTATTTACAGGCCAGTCTTGCCAATACAGTCAGGCTAGAGACCTTACTTGTTACTGATCCCCAGCTAAAGTCTGTCTACACTACATAAATATTTAAGTTCTTTTATTTTCTCAGCCTCCTGGACAGAGGCAACTAGCAACCAAGTTAACAACTCCATTGAATAAAAAGCTCTCTGTAGTTCAGTTGTGCTTTCACTGTTAGGCAGTATTAAGGACCTCCTCATGGGGTGTAAGACAGCTGGTGGAGGAAGGAAGATTAAGCTGTAAAAGAACAAAGCAAGCAGTGACAAATGAAAGGGTAGCTGTAAATAAAAGCATAGAATAGCAAATTTTGTAAGATATGAGCTAAGGAGAAAAACAGCATCAGTAAAACTGCTCAGTTTAAAGCTAATGATACTGATAACTTCTGGAAGTACAAATTGACAGGCATCAAGTCAAACAATCCAGAGAAGGACAATATTAGTGGCACATGCAAACATCTGAAATCTATGTCTGTTTTCCCTACCCTGTATTTACTAAACAAAAAACAAAAAAACCCCAAAACCACCACACCAAAAAAGCCCACCAAACTAAAAAACACCCTCTGCTACATTATTTTTTCTGAGACACTGGCTTTGTGTTTCCTAAAGTATGGCAGGAGAGCATTTAATTGAGATTTAAATCAATTGACAACTTTATAGGTCAAAGAAAAGCTGGTTTACTTACAATCATCAGAGGATAGTCTGCAAGTGAGAGATACTCATATGGCCCCTTCAGTTCTACTGTCACTGTCAAAAGACAATCCAATAACCAAATTGAACAAGAAGCAAAAGGAGGAAGCCAGGATAAAATACTTAACTGATTTTTACTCAAGTGTAAAGAAATTCCAAATCTTCACATAGCTTTTAAATCTAACTTGCACTTCAATCAAAGAAAGTTAAGACTCGTAACACACTCAGCTAAAAGCATGCAATTAAAATTACACGCTCCATTACCGAGTAACTCATCGCAGTACTTAAAGTAAAAGTAATTTGTGCTGGAGATTCATGCGTAACAGGAAGGTTCAGAAACACACATAAGTTAACGTTTTAAGGGGATTTTCAAACTTCTCTAAAGTTTGGATAGGTTATCAATGAACTGTTAGATATATTATAACATAATTTCAAGGTGACAATTGTGATCTTTGTATTCTACATGATTTCAGATTATTAATATAAATCACTGTGTTGGGCTGGATATTTTTGAAACACAACATCAAGTCTCAAAATTGAACTGCTTGGGATTCTTCTTTACTTCCATCATTAAACTGACAAACCAACAACCTTAGGATCTTCACGACACTAACAATCACCTATTTTCTTATAATAAGGAAGAGCTGTAGTAAGTAATACTTACATCTATGTGAAGTGAAAGATAATGTCTCATGAAAATGAACCATACAGTATACGTTAGAAGTACCTTAGAATACACTCAGACTGGTATACATAAAAAAATGACACTAGTATTTTTAGCTTACTGTATAAACAGCTATCTTACTTGTAAAGGGCTTATTTTGATATGAGGAAGGTGTTTTCTCTGTTCTTCTAAATCTGGTAGTAGAATCCTTCACAGCTGTAATTCCAATTTGCACAATAAATATATACGGCCCGTCTCGCCAAGTTTTGATAACAGCATTCATTGCCTGAAAATAAAATGTCTACATGTAGACAGTGCATAGTCAAGACGACACAAAAGACAGAAGTAAACTCACCATATATGGGTGATATCTTCCATGTAAAAATAACGTTCATCTCTTCCCAGGCCTAAAACTTGTTAATAAATATCTGATGCGTAAATTTAAAATCTATTTATTAGACATAAGACTTAAAATTTAGTTGTTTGAATCCAGAAGAATCCTCAAAGACCCGGGATGTGATCAGGGCTTATTTGCAAACTTAAAACTGGCTTACTGCAAGAGTCATCTCAAAGGTACTGCAAAAGCTACAAAGAATTCAGCAAAGCATCCTATTCCTTGTTTTCAGTCTAGAAACATTATGACTGTCACAGAGATACTTCTTTCCTCCCGAAATCAATTGTTTGGCAACAGCACAGCTACATATAACTCAACTCCCTGGTGAAGGCTGAATTTTGTAGTGTAACATAGAAGAGGTAGCTGAGAAGTAAAAAAATTTCCATAGTAGTCATTTCCTGTGGAAACTACTACTGCCCCTGCAACAGCTCTCACACCTGTAAGACTCAAACCCTGCCAATGAACTAGAGGAAGCTTGCCCAGATAAATATTTGCACCATAAAACAAATCAGATATTTGAGTTCCAGCATACAAAACCGTTAATTCCACAACTGAAGAAGTTCTAGCCAACTCAGAAACTGCAATATTTACCAAGAGCTTTAAGGTTAAAACTAAGACTATCTACATGTATGTCACTCACATGACCACTGCAGAACTACCACAAAGACTTTTTTTTATATCGGCCTCTCCAAGAGAATTTCAGTATTAAGAGCATGCATTTCTTTTAAGACACTTCCTGACTACAAGACCTAAAGCCAACAGAATTTTATGTATCAAAAAAGTTTACGCTGATATTGACTGAAATTAAGAGACTTGGTTAAAAACACAGTAAACTTACAAGAAAATGGATATATTTTTATACACCAATTTTGCCTTTAAAATACCTCCATCTGCATTGATTCCTTACTTCACAATTGCACACAAACTATTTGTGTTTTAGCTTTAAGGTAAATGGCTCTGTAAGTACACGGGGAGTTAAATACATTTTATTTGTTGTGATCCAGGACATTCAATTTGAAGTTATTTTGACAATTGTTCCTGGTTAAGGCCTGAACATAATATATAATAAAAATACTAACAGATCTGAAAATCAAAAGTAATCACTCAACTTGTTACGGACAATGTTTTAAAAGATTGACTAGTTAAAGATGAAACCAAATGTAATCTCTAAGTATTAATCACCACCTAAAACAGATCATATCAATGATTACTTTAAACTATTATGAAAAAAAATTTATTCTTTAATTTATACCATCAGTTTGAATGGTATGAGTTCTATATTTCACATATAGAAGAAACAGTTACTCTGTTTCTGTTACTCAGTTTTCTGGTTTTCCACACAGTGCTACCTAGTTTCAAGCTAAAAACAAAAAATCCAAAGTGTCAAAAAAACAGAGAATTGCACCACGCCTGTAAATGCTACCAGTAATGTCTTATAAAAAGAAATAGAAATTAACAAAAAAAACCCAAAAAAAACCCAAACAACCTGAAACAACAAAACAAATTAAGACTGCTGGATTCCAAGTCATGTTTAAATTCAATATACATACAATTTTATCTGCCACCATTGTGTGATTGCCTCCGCTCTCCTTCTTATCTTTTAAGCCCTTAAAGAGAAACAGAAAAGTGGATAAATTAACATGCCAAAACTCTCTCTTCCATGCCTACACTCACTCATGAGGAAGAAAAAAAAGAATTTACCTCTTGTTTCTCAGGTGAGAGAGGCTCTGGATGAACAAATTCTTTATAGAACATCTGCAAGATATAAGAAAGGTACAGCATTTATAGGCACTTTATATTAACATGACATTACCAGAACAGCTTCCAGTAAACTTGATTATAAGGAAGGATTCTCTGAACAGGTCTATTAGAGAGCTTCCATTTTTCTAAATCAAACAACTGTCCATTTGTAGAGGGAGTCTTGAATACTTAATTAGTATTTTGTCATTTGAGAGTGGCTTTCCCCCCACCCCCTCAGACAACAAGTGTCTATTTTTAGAACTGGACCCACAGACATGACAGTAGTGAAGTTAATTTTGTTTTCCAAATATGAATCTGTTAGCCATCTCCATTAGTAGATGAAGTCTACACAGACAGAAACAGGATTTGGAGATTTCTGGTTTATTATATGCAAAAAAGGTCCCTAGATGAGTGGGTGCCTATTAGGATCCAGATTTTGCCAACTCTCCTGAACTACGGTGACTTGAAATCTAGTGAAACTGCTATACCACAAGAAAAAAGATAAACAACCAAAAGGACAAATTTCTGTGAAACTTCAGAAATTAATATCCGAGAGGAGTATCTTTTGTTAAAAATTCAGTAGACTTTTCAAAGGAATTGGAGGAAAAGTCACTTAAAGACATAAAACCCCAGTTTCACCAACCTGAACACTCAGTTAAGATGCTCGAGTTCATATTACACAGCTAAACCCACAAGATCTCTTCTATAAAACCAAGTAAAAGTAGAACTGACATTTCTCACATTATTAGACATAAAAAGCAGGCAGCATACAGGTTATTTTTAAAAACCTTTCAAGCCATCTTTGCATATCAAAGGCATTAGAGGCATGTAAACAGATTATTAAAAACCCTTTTCAAGTCACCTTTAGGCATGTGCCTTTTCTTAAAAAATAAACAACAAACAAAAAACCCACAACACTAGGTTCAATAGTTACGAGACATTTCCCAGTATCCTCTATCCACAACCCTTTGTCTAAATTGGAAATGGCTGAATACAGACGCAACACTGCACAATTTGCCTTGAATTCTTACCTAAGTACACCATTAAAGAAAGACAGCATGTTAGATTAATATTATCGTTAGTATGATTACACTGCTTCACCTGGTGATATACAGCTGGTGTAAAGCCTATGTTTGCACATTACTTCGCTATGCTGTTTTGCATTGTCATCTCTCTTCCATTTGATTTCTTTCAAACACGTTTTAGCATGACTTATTTTTCGTTTTTAACCGATCAGTGCTGAAGTAACCCATTTCTCAACACACTTCCATTTCCATTATTATAAATGAAAATTATCTGAGCAAAAAATGCCAGTCCTTTATCAACCAAAATCCCATTAAATGTGGCAGTGAATCTCTGCTGCCAGAGATTCACACTTCTACTCAAGTAGCATTAGTCTTCTGTAAGCAAAAGAAATTCAGAACACAGAACCACAAACAAAAAGAAGCACTGAACTTTACAGTGGTGTTCCCCCACCTTCCCCCATGGTGGGCCAGATGTTGAATAGCAAGTCAAAAGTAAAGCAAAATTAAGAAATCACCTCTGCAGTTTGGTTGTCGTAAACAGATAAAAACAAGTACCTCCCAAACTACAGTGATACTTACACAGGATGCTAACACATCTAACAGGAACTACCACCTTCTCTGTATATTGTATGAGAAAATAGAGCAAACTGCAAAGTTTCTACCCATACCTGAGGCCTGAAGAGCTCAGAGCAATTTGGAAAGAGGAGAGAAGCCGTGGCATAGTATCCTGACCAACCTGGATGCTCTTCAGATGTAGCCCCAAAATAGTAGTCTGCCTGTTCATCCTGCCAAACATAGAACAGAACTTCCGTTAGCATCCAATATATCAAATGGTTTATCTCAGTAGGCAGCTGCAAGACCTGGAGAGCACCATAACTTCCCTCTGCCCACACTCTTGAACAGAATTTAATAGAATAAAGGCCATCAAGACCACACAAGACTATTCTTCCTCAAACAAAAAAAAAAAAAAAAGAAAAGAAAAAAAGGCCAAAAAACCCATACAGGCTTTGAATAAGAATTAGTACCTAATTAAAAAAAAAAAATCCCAGTATTCCTGCAGCGAAGGTGCAGCAGCCAGCATAAACTTCAGTCTACACAAACAAACTCTACATTACTATATTAAATATTAAAGACCTCAGTATTGTGTTAGGTTAGTAGTCACAACTGTCATAATTAATATTTTAAGTAAACATGGAAAAGGTGTTACACAGTATAAACCACAGTTGTGTTCTACCACATTTGATAAAAACACTATATATTTTGTATAAATCGCTAACACTTGCAATGTGAATCCATAAAGAACAGAATTTAGACTAAACATGAAAATACTCAATTTTTTCTATTTGCTGTCATTAAGCATTGTTGTAAATAATATTTTCATCTACCATAAACTCACACACTTCAGTTCAGAGTCAATGCACTTATTTAAGCTTCTGGGTTTAGAAGAATTCTGACAAACACTTCCACTTTACCCAAAACCCAGAAAAGTCAGTAATTCCAGCAAGCTATGGATCAATTCCTTTCCACAGTGATCCAGAAATTTGTTATCTTCCAATGCAGGAGTGTGTCTTTTAGGCCCAAAGAGCAACGAGCATGCAAGTGAGACATCTCCAATCCCCTCACACCCAGATCTGCTTAGCTTACCCCTAAAAACCATAACCCATGTTTTTCCACACAATTCTTACCCCAAAGTTGAAGACTTCATTGTAGCAGTCAGAATATCTTAAGTACCAAGTAACATTGTAACTTTGGGAGGGATCACAAGCTTTTTCATCCCCTTCAACTAAAAAAAAAAAAAAAAAAAAAAAAAAAAAAGAACATGTAAGCCCCCCTCCACCTGCCATGCTTCTCCTCCCATTCTATGCCAAACTACCATACTTATATTTAAACAGGAAACTGAAAGCAAAACAATAGAAAAACATTTTCCTCAAGTAATCCATTACTGTTCAGTGAAAGAAAGAAGCATGTGGAAAACAGAATTTTCTAAGTGTAATTTGCACAGAAAATTTAAATATACCAATAACATCACCACGAAAATAAATAAAAACGTAAAATTTTGCAAGTCAACAGCCATCCCCTCACTCCTAAAAGACAAACAAGCCATCTACACACTAGCTCACTCTGTCAAAGCTGCAATGCTACCTAAAACAGCAATAAGACAACTTTCCGCTTTGACTTATTAGAGAACAACATGCATGAAAACACAAGACTCCACTGCCTCAGGAAAGATTGAAACACAAAAAAAAAAAAAAAAAAAAAATCACACAAATCTCATTCTGAAACTAAAGCCTGATTAAGAAAAGTTGACATTAAGAAGGTAAGCTTCACCTGTAAACAAAATGAGCAGTGATTATTCAGACTTGGAAGAGCCATTTAGATGATTATGTTTGGGTTTTGCCAGTCAACAGATGGCAAAACCCTTTCGAGTTGACAGCATGTTTCTAGCAGCTAACAAGTCCCCACACCTTCACAGGCAGCATTCATCTCAGACCAGACATGCACAAATTTGTTACATGTACAGAGCTTTCAATGAATGTTTCCATACTGGCCACTGCAGGTAAAAAAATGCAATTAGAAAAAAGACCCTGCCATGGAGTCTTAACTGACTAATGCCACTTTAAATCACATGACTACTAAAGGAAGTATAGGTAGAGCTAACAACTCAACAACGGAGTCTCTAATACCAAAGATTAAAAAAAAAAAAATTGGAATGCAATTATTGAAAAATAAGTTTCCTTATGACGCCTTCTGGTAAGTATGAAAACAAGGCATACGTTCTCCACATAGCCCTAGATCTTGCAGAGCGCACAGCAAAGAAACTAAAGAGGCAACACAAGTGCTGCAGTGACACGGGTAGATGGCAAACTCTTGGAAGACAAAGGCTCTTCTGATAAAATTGATCAAATGAGGAAGCTCTCAAGAAAGTGCTACCAAAAACTAGGAGGGATTCAAAAATACCTTTTAAATATCTTTTTACCTATTAAAAATAAATAAGATTATTAAAACTCTATGTTCAGCAGTAACACCAACTAAAGGTAAAACAGACCGTGACTAGAACAATCTGCCAATATCTGCAAACATCAAAATTACAGAAACCTTCAAAAGGAAGTACTCTAAAAGACAGAAAAGGCATCCATGGCATTTATTGAATTCAGCAACATGGAAATCTAAGTTCCTTAGCCTTCAAACAAAATCACAGAATCATAGAATCATAGAATCACAGAATCGTTAAGGTTGGAAAGGACCTCTGAGATCATCAAGCCCAACCTGTTAATCTAACTGCCTGGTCCACCTCTAAACCATGTCCCTAAGCACCACATCCACACGTTTTTTGAATACTTCCAGGGACTGTGATTGTACCACTTCCCTGGGCAGTCTGTTACAATACCTAACCACTCTCTCTGTGAAGAAGTTTTTCCTAATATCCAATCTAAACCTCCCCGGCACAACTTGAGGCCATTTCCTCTTGTCCTATCGCTTGTTACTTGGCAGAATAGACTGACCTCCACCTCACTACAGCCTCCTTTCAGGTAGTTGTAGAGAGCAATAAGGTCTCCCCTCAGCCTCCTCTTCTCCAAACCAAACAACCCCAGCTCCCTCAGACGCTCCTCACAAGACATGTGCTCCAGACCCTTCACCAGCTTTGTTGCCCTTCTTCGGACATGCTCCAGGCACCTCAATGTCCTTCTTGGAGTGAGGGGCCCAAAACTGAACACATTCAATTCAAGTGCAGTCTTTGTACTCATTTACAGACAGCAGGATTTCTACCGTGATCCTAGACAGGAAACCAGATGCCTTCTAGAATAGCCCTTAAGAAAAGTAGTAGATAAATTAATTATTGTCAATACTAAACACCAGTGGCAGTCTACCCAGTCAAAAGCAGAAAGCATCAGACACCAATACACCACATGCACAAAAAAAAAAAACAAAAATCAAGAAGGGGAAAGAAAAAGGAGGAGGAGGTGGAAGAGCAGATGTAGGTGCTCATGAAAAACATGAACAACCCATGAGCAATCATATTTGGCAAGAAGGGTCATATTGTCCACACAAACACCACAGAGCAGATGGAAGAGGCAACAGACAGCAAACAGAAGAAGACAGACCAGTTTCCACACAGACACAGGCAGAAAAGAAACAATATGCAAAGTTGAAGCTTCCCAGTATCAGATGCAGTTGAAGTATCATCTAGGCTGAGAAACTGAAATTAAGTTCCTAGCCTTTGTTTCTTCCTCTTTCAGTGATTCATTATCTAAATTCATGTAAATCTTTTAATCACACTGCTATGTAAAACAGGTGTCTTCACTAAAGAATTTTAAGGCTTAACGCCTGTTTAAAGGCTGACAGCACAGTGTAGTTGAAGTCCACATCAGGAGCCAGGAGATCGAATTCTTAATGCCAGATCTGCCACAAACCTACCTTGTAACAAACAAATTTTATTTTCTCCATGCTTCAGTTCCTTCCTTCTCTTGGTTATTTCAGCTGTACACCTCATGATTAGACTTACCACACACTTTACTGTGGGGACCCACATCTTAAATGCCACGTTAGTATGAGTACACTATTTCTATGAAACTTTAGACAAGAAAGCCTAATACCTACCAAAACTCCAAATGCCCTTTCAAACCCCTCCTCCTTTTCCCCAAGCATCAGATTTCTACATTTTGATCCTGCAGCTGCACACCTGGCAATTGTCTTGCTGCAAGCTGCTGTGAAACTCAGCATTTGAGCTATGCTTGACAAGTGCAAAAACCTTAACCCTGACATGGTGGACCTTCACTAATAACCACTTTAATACTAGCCTCCTATTTCAGATTCATGTGGAATTAATGGAGGCACTTTAACAAACTCCCTTTGAAACACCATCCCAAGAAGAACATGTATCTGAAATTAAACCTGAAAATCAGTAACTACTAAACATAATAAAGCACAGCAATATGCAATTTCATCAAGAAGCATCAGCTAATCCTCATGATACCTTAATTTTCTCAGTTAAAAAAAGAGCACAATCACTACAGCAACTAAGTCTTGAAGTGACAAAGGCACAGATCCCACTAATTGTCTCTAAAGTGACTTTTATTTCCTTGTTTGACACAAGTGCAGAAAGGCACTCACGGGCACTGTAACTGTATAACTACCCAATTAGCAGCTGGAGATCAAACAGTTTCCCCCCTGTCCCCCCATGGTAAGAGGAGGTACAAACAACCCCTTAAAGTGCTCAAAGTGCAGGGGAAAGATTTCAAGCCTTTCTAAATCAGCTAGTCACTTCCACAAGTCGCCTACATCACCTAGTTGCTATCTGTGAACACGAGGACAGCATTTAGATAAGAGGGTATTTTATAGAAACTCTCCCATATCCCATAGCCCTGGCCAGATCAGCAAAGAGCAATAAACAGAAAAAACAAACATGAAGGCTGCAAACATGTTTGCTCTGAAGCGCAATCACACACTGTGATCAGGCGGAGAAAACAGCTCTCAAGAGAGTTCTGCCATAGTGTGCAACAACATTCCCTTATCACTCCCAGAAGCGCCCAGCTAAAAAGGAACAGGGCCTCAAAAAGCACTGCCTCCTGCACACTGGCATCAGTCACCCTGCAATACAAACAGCCCCTCTCCCAGTCAGCACCATATCTGCCAGCTGGAGGAATTCAGCATCTCTTAATTGGGGAAAGGACACCTCACAGTAGGGCTCAGCACATCCCATGCCTGATTACCCGCTACCTGAAATGAAGTGGTGCTCCTATTGCCCATCTTGCCCTCTCCGCAGAGGGCCTGAACAGAACCATTCATTTCTGCTACAGCCTAAACAGATCGCAACTGGGAAGCTTCAAGGTGTTAACACACCCAACCATATCAGAGCTACAGCTTTCATCCAGTACTAGGAGATTAGCTGTCACTGCAACCAGTGCAGTTAAACACTTCACAGTGTTTTGAGTCCTAAATGTTAAAGTAGGGGGGTGTCAAACAGCAGAGAGAGCAGGTTAACCTCTTGTAACCACTTACATCTCAGGAAAATGGTGGTGTTGCTGAAGAGAATCTTCCCAAAGTTAAACTTCTTCCCCTGCAAAGGCACGAAAAAGGAAAAGATATCAGTGGTCTTAATGTCACTAAGCTTAAGTAAACATCGTCTTCCACTCCGAGTTTTAAGTCAACAGAGCAATGAAAGTGAATGTCAAATCAGGAGCCAGCCTTACTAGATTTTCCAGTCATGCTTCACCACCCCTTTAACTCTCAAAAGTGGCTTGAGAGGCTTGGGGCTTTTTGTTCTGCAAAACTGAATCTATTTCATCACTACTTGCAGAAATGCTTAGCATTTTCTTGCTGATGAGAAGGTCTGGACTATCCAACAAAAAAATATTTTGTTCTAAGAATCAACAGGAGTGTTCACTGTGATCCTTTAATTTTGTTCCTGAAGCTCAAGAGCCTCATAGAAAATGTACGTTACTCCCTTCCACAGCCTGGTAAAGGCAGGTTTAACGTGAGGCAAAATAGCTTTTCTCCACACAACTTCAAACGCGCACGGTATAACAGAGGTGCTGGAAACACCTTCACCTTCTCAGAGGCCCACATCTCTCTCGGTTCAGCGTTTCAGGGGCCCAGCTTTCCCGACGCCAGGCCCCTGCGCAGCCCGACGGTGGGGGCCGGCAGCCAGGCCGCACGGGGGGCGCGGGGCGCCCTCTCCCCACACAGGCCCCACCGAGGCCGGGCCTCAGCCGGGGAGGCGACCTCCCTCCCCACAGACCCCACAGCAGCCACCCTCCCCCCGCCGCTCATCGAGACTATTTCCCGCAGAGCCTTCTCTCTCCTGTGGCCATCGCCGAACCGCCAGAGGCGGCCCCAGCCCCGGCGAGGGGCCCGGGCGCGGGGCA